ATTTTGGTTGCCATTTCTTCCAAACTTCTAGTGTTGCTCTTCTAGGGCCTATTGTTAGTTTTAGGTCTTTAGCCTTAACTTCGTAAAAAATACCTAGTCTTCCTATATTATTGTTGATCTCATTCTCAAATCTAACCCATTTCCGTTCTCTTTCCTCTCCTAACTCTAGTAGTGATTTAAGTTGGAATGTGTCATAATAATTATTTAGATCTGGAACTCCCCATCCAAGTTCTAACTTATGGCCTGTACTGGCCTTACGTATACCTGGCTGTGGCTTCAGCCTTTGACCTCCTCCTAGGTCCTCTCTCTTTTTCTTTTTTCAAGTAATCATATTTTAAGCTTTCCAGGGTGGTGGTGACTGCAGATTAATTTTGGGTCAAACATTGCAAACCTCTGATTACTAGAATGGGTGTGGTGGAAGGAGGTGGATAATGTAATGGACCTGGTATTAGAACTGCAGAGTTTTTCCCCCCCAATTTTTGTTTTGTTTTGAAGAGGTGGCAGTTGGAAGCTCCCTGAATCTTCAGCAGTGTTAGGCATCTGAAGCTCAGGCTACTTCATGTCTACATCAGCTTCCATGGGTTGTCACTGTGGAGGATATTGGGCAGATATATGTATCAACCTGACATCTCTACCACTAAGATCAGTGCTGTTCTCTGGTAAACTTTTAAGCACAAGCAAAGCGATGGCGAACCTAAACAGCATGATAAAAAGTAGAGACATCACCCTGCCAACTAAAGTCCGCATGGTCAAAGCAATGGTATTCCCGGTAGTCATGTATGGCTGCGAGAGTTGGACTATAAGGAAGGCCGAGCGCCGAAGAATAGATTCTTTTGAACTATGGTGCTGGAGAAGACTCTTGAGAGTCCCTTGGACTGCAAGAAGAACAAATCAGTCAATCCTAAAATAAATCAACCCTGCCAGTTCCCTGGAAGGCCAGATAATGAAACTGAAGCTCAAATACTTTGGCCACCAAATGAGAAGGGAGCACTCACTGGAGAAGACCCTGATGCTGGGAAAGATTGAAGGTCAAAGAAGACGGGGACGACAAAGGATGAGATGGTTAGACAGTGTCATAGTGTCATAGATGCAACGAACATGAAGTTGAGCAAACTTCAGAGGACGGCAGAAGACAGGAAGGCCTGTCGTGATCTGGTCCATGGGGTCGCAAAGAGTCGGACTCAACTGTGCGACTGAACAACAAAAACATCCTTAAATTGCAGCCTCTTTGTGTAATGTAGCAGGTCTTCCAATAAATGGCTGTAGAACTACACCATTTCAGCTTGCACCAGTTTGTTAGAAACAGTTCACATATAAATTCTGTTTGCAGCAAACAGAAATCCCCCTCCGCCCACCCACAGCTTATGCCCCTCCATTCATATAAACTCTGTTTGCAGCAAACAGAAATCCCCCCCCCCAGCTTATGCCCCACCATTCCATTCTGGAGAATGCCATGGTGGCTCCCCATCCCCACCCTGGGTACAAATATAGAACATCAATGAATCCACACAAAAAATTAAAAAGCTACGATGCACAGTCAGAATCTGTAAAAAAAAAAGGCAATTAAGTCAATAATGTATTGTTTACTGCTCATGATTAGCAAAGTAGCAATAAAAACAGCAGAACATTTAGTTTCAACAATATATAACCAAATTCTAGAAAACCTTGGTGGGGAAATACAGAAGAGTGCTGCTGTTTTCAGTTTCCCTCCCAAGTGAACAACAGCAGAACTGCTTGCAAGAGGACTCCAGTTAATGACACATGGTCTCAATTAAACATCAAGGATTTGTACAGACAAGGCAAAGAGGAAAAGAAGGTCAGATTAGTCTTGGTGTTATATTCTGGAATTTCCTTCTGCATGGATGGGTGGGTTAAAGAGAACAGAGAGGAAGGGGGGAAGAAATGAACTCAGCAAGGAGCCTGCAGGAGAGGTTAAGCCAGGGTGAATGAGTTGGAAGTGGGTGATGGGTTTACATGGTATTGACTTAGTTGTCTGAAGGAGAAGGGTGGGTGGGGTTAACAAAGAGTGTTGGGCTACTGTCCATTGAATCTGCACAAATGGATGTATCTGCATTTGACCAGCAAGCTAAGCAAATGCTGGTTCAGGAGGATAGATCTTGAATTTCGGGGATAGTTTTTGGAATGATCCTGGTGGAAGGGCAGATTTCAAATGGATTTATTGACATGTGCCATCTGCACAACTTACTTAAAGGTGGTTCTTTAAGGGTGGCTCCAGGAGTTATATTGGATCCAGCTCAAAGGATAGTTCAAGAAGCACTGTGTGACTAGAGCATCCACCCCGCAATGCACACTCATGGTTGCATGGGAATTGTTGCAAATGTTGTCCCTTAGTCACAAAAGAGTATGTGGATATATCTTTTTATACAAGGGCCAGAGTGCAGTCCTGGAGGCTGTTTTCAGTGCTGAGGCTCATTCTAGAGAAACAAGACAGCAATAAAAGCAAGCTTCTTTTCCTCGCTAGACAACCATTTCAAACCTGATCGTGTGTGTGCGGGGGGGGGGGGGGGGGGGGGGGTCATTTACAGAGAATAATTGGTGAGCAGGAAGAGTTATGCCGTCTAAGCAGACAATACTGACTTTAATGGACCGATGGTCTGATTCAGTTTAAGACAGCTTCGTATGTGTTCATGTGTTCCCCTGCAAATCCACACAAACACACTCAGTTTTGCATTCGCATAATGTCTTGCACTCCCCCCTCCCCCCCGGTTTTGTAGTCTACTTCCTTACCCTTTTCCCTTGAAAGCATGTCTCAGATATCACTTCTTTGAGTGAAACCAAAACACTCAATTATGTTGGTAAGTGTAAAAGATAGCCCAAGAAACTGTGTGTGTGTGTGTGTGTGTGTGATATTTTGTGGTATAAGGTGGCCCAGTTCTTGATTCAGAATTCATTTTGTTTGTGCCCATTGCAGCTCAGTGTGAAAGAAACCTTTTATTTAAAATGTGTATGTACCTCTTTTTTAACATACACTCAAAGCACTGGGCAGACTGTTCCAGCAAGTGAGAGCTGCAACAGAGAATGCTCACATTCAGGCAGCAGTCTTACCCATTTACATGGCAGTCATTTCAAAAGGTTTTGCTGAGATGAATGAAGCTATCCTAGCAGAGAATATCAGGAGAGGCAGTCCTACAGATACGCAGAGACAATACTGCAGAGATAAACTGATTCAGTATAAGACAGCTTCATGTGTGGTTATGTGTTCCCCTGCAAACCCACACAAACACACTCTTACACTATTTGGTAACCAATGGAGCAGCTGTATTTATTTATTTAGACAATTTTAAGCAGCCTCTTCAGGGAATCTGCCTGAGGCAGCTTACAAAACATTGAAAGGTACTAACTAAAATCCAGCATTACAAACCCAGCCACCACATAAAAACACGAGACCATTAAGCATAAAATAAGTTTTCAGACTAAAAAGCACACTGAAGTTGTGTTTTAAAACCCTTTCATTAAAAGTCTGGGTCAACAGAAACATTTTGGCCTGAAAGAAAGCAATGTAGGTGCCAGACAAGCCTCAAGGGGAGGGACGTTTTATAAGTGAGGAGCCACTACTGAAAAAGGCCCTGTCTTTGGCTTCCATACATCTCTCCTCTGAAGACAGGGCATGCAGATCAGGGCTTGTGAGACAGGCTGGCCAACATACATGTTCTATCTAGCTCCTGAGAGGAATGAAGCTGTGGCACAGTACCAGCTGAAGTTTCCAAGTTGTCTTCAAATGCATTGTAATAGTCTAGCTTTCCGGCATGGATCTATGTTGCCATAGCAGCTGGGTCAAGATCAGGAGAAGAAGAGGAAGAAGAAATTGGATTTATACCTTGCCCATCACTCCCTGAAGGAGTCTCAGAGCGACTTACAATCTCCTTTCTCTTCCCCTCCCCTCCCCTCCCCACAACAGACACCCTGTGAGGTAGGTGGGGCTGAGAGAGCTCTTTTGAGAACTGCCTGTGAGAGAATAGTTTTGGGAGAACTGTGGCTTGCCCAAGATTACACCAGCAGCTGCATGTGGAAGAGTGGGGAATCAAACCCGGTTCTCCCAGATTAGAGTCTGTGCTCCTAACCACAACACCATACTGGCTCTGTGGGCTAAATGAAGATGGAAGAAAGCATTTTCAGAAGGTGAATTGACTTTCTTTTATACCTGATCACCACCTGATTCTGAGATTCCCTGCTCTGTGAGAACCTGGAATTCATTGGTTGTAGCAACAGAGCTTTCTCCTTTTCTTCTTTTTTAAAAAAGCTTTCTTTTATTTCAATTCCATGTCTGATTTATTTATTAGAGAGAAATTGATCAACAATGAGGTGAGCAGCTTAAAGCTGCCACAGAGATCAGAGCTCAACATTTACAATCATATCAAGAGCTGATTGTAAAACTGAAGTCTCTCCCCTCCCTTCCTAAAATCCTTGGCCAGTGGTCTGCATCCACCATATCTAACAGGTCTTCTTTTATGTCTCCCACTGTCAACCCTCAAAGCACCCAAGAACATCCTTTTGGTGATGACTTCTGTTCCTTGTTACGTTTAGTACTTTTCAGGCAACAGCTCCATTTCACAAAACATTTCCTAATGCTATTGCACTGCTTATTAGCTGTATCACTCTATCAATTGCGTTGATTTGCATTGTGTAATCAGCCTTGCATCTCAATGAGAAAGGCAGACTATATATAATGTGAATAAATAATATACGCCATTGTGTTTGGTGACTGACATGCAACTGGAGGTTATCCAGGCCTGAGCATCTCTTAGTTAAAAGGTTTTGCATTGGATATGGCCTGAATTTCGGCAGTTAAACTAAAACAGGGTTTGCATGCATGGACACATGATGGAGTCTAACTCTCTGTAGAATTATATGCTTTTAGGCTTTTAAGTTAAGTTGTCATTCCCAAAGATGAACGAATGAGTGACTGTTTCAAGTGGCTTGTTGTCAAGGCAGGATTTCGGTTCTGATTGATGCTGAGCCCGTTTCTTTTCACTTGGCAGCTGTCTCCCGAGAATGCCTATGATGTGCTTTGTGTCGCAGACATGTACCTGTTACCTGGGCTCAAACGACTCTGTGGGAAGACTTTGGCCCAGGTTCTTGATGAAGACAATGTAGTCAGCATCTGGAAGGTTGCAAAGCTGTTCCAGCTGACCCGGCTGGAAGACCAGTGCACAGAGTACATGGCAAAGATAACTGAAAAGGTAATTTGGGAAAGCATCCTTGAGTGGGTTGTGTGTCAGCCACCACACCTATGTTTGTTTCTTCTAAAGTCTTCAGATCTAATAAGATGGCAGCAAGCCATATTCCCAAGAACTTGTCATCGTGAACACAATTGAAGAGGACCAAATGGGCAGTTTCAATGGAAGGTTAAACTTCATGATGCACAGGAGACCCATGATCACGTCTCAGCTATGGGGACATCAGGGTTATTGTAGCTGAGTAGAGGGGCTTGACCACCCTCCAGTTCCCTCAAGTGTAGCCTAGTAATTAAGAGGAGGGGGGGTTAATCATGGCCTTAGGCAAGTCACTGTTTTCCAAGCCTTGTTGTCACCTTCCATTCTAATGTGAGAATACTTTTCACTCTAGATAACAGGATGTTTGTACTGAAGTGCATGTGTTCTGAACACTTGAAGGGCTCTCTCTAAACGGGACAGCAGGTCTAGCTCAGAGGCAAGTCCATTGCCATCCGGTGTAGATGACACTGTCCCTTGGTTAACGTTACTTGCAGGACTCAGGAATTCTTGGATGTGGATGATCCACATCAAGCAGATCAGGGTTCTGCATGGTCCTGAAATGTGATGGCACCCTGGCATTTTGAGAGAATCTTCATACCACAGCACCAAATTCAGTCCACATTTGCCATAGGTAAATGACAGTACAGTAAGCTTCTATGAAAAAACTTTGTAGCTTAGTTTTTTAATAAGGGTTAAACGTTGCTGTATCCTAGAGATGGGCATGAACCACATTTTTGCAGTTTGGTTCGTGACCATTTAAAGGGGCGCATCAGGCACCCTGAGGCAGCTGAGCCAGCAGGGAGAGACTTTTCCACACAGGCCCAGTTGGGCAGCCCATTTAAAGGGGCTGTGTCAGGCACCTCAAGGGAGCTTAGAAAAGCCTCTGAGCCGTTTAAGCCAAACAGATGAGTGGCGGGGAGCTCCCAGCTTTTCAGTTCCTCCTCCTCTTCACAAACAGTCACAAACCAAAATTTTTGGTACTTTCCCCCAGTTCTTCAGTTCACAAACTCCAGTTTGTGAATCCCAAACAGGCCAAAACTTGTGGCAAACTTTGGTTCATGAGCCAGTTCGTGCCCATCCCTACTGTATCCTACTTGATTAAAACTCCTGGCTACAAGAACCAACTGAAAACCTTGTAGTGGAGTGTAGAGGAAGAAGGTTTACATACAGACTGAAGTCTGCAGTAGAACACACAATTACATACAGAGAATTACATACAGACTGAAGTCTGCAGTAGAACACACATACCGTCGAGTGACCGTCGAAATGGAGCCAGAAGACAGCCGAGAGACATCGAGCCAAGGAACGCCGACCCGAAGACCGTCCGGTACCTCCACTGGGTGCTGATAGGGACTACCCCCACCCTGTGTTCTGTGGCCATAGATTAGGTATGAGATTCAAAGTGTAAGCCGCTCAGAGACCCCTTAGCGGGGGTTCGAGCGGGGTAATAAATCGAATGATAAATAAATAAATAAATACCCCGTGGTCTTAACCCTAGAATTGTTTTGTGTTACCTTCCACTTTGCATCAGGATTTAGAGGGGTACTTAAGACTGTCCTAACTAAACTGATGCAGAAATTAATCCCAAATAGTGATGCTTTAAATGGATGGGCAGTATTCAAACACACTCATACCACTGGAGGAATAGTCTGTTCCTTCCCATCCGACATCATCGTCAGCCAGCTGTAGTATGGCCAGGCCCACGTGGCCAGCACACTCTTGCTTCTGCTAAGTTCTTTGGAGCCCAGTCAATTCACTGGTTTTTATAAATGGCTCTAATTAGAACTCCCACATGAGCTGCAGCCTTCTTTACTTAACAGGCTTTGAGGAAGGTGTGAAATTCTTCCCAGCTTGTGAAAGCACACTGAAGAAAATAATTTGTTAACAGTTCCCCTTTTACATCCTCGTTATTTTCTTCTTTCTTCCCACCCTGAAACAAGCTCAGATGTATTGGTTTTTTTCACAGACTCACAATTGATTCTCAGACACGTTGATCTGCATGCAAAAACGAGGGCTTTGCTGCATTAACCTCATCCCTCGTAAGACTTCTGGAAAGTGCAGTTGAGTAGGGGGGAGGGAAGAGGGTCAGAATTCATGAGTGGAAGGCCGTTCTGTGGCTAGCATGTCGTCACTTTTATACAGCAAAGCCAAAGTCTGTATTCTAAAGATGTACCTGCTGCCTCAAGCAGTTGTCCTGGGGGGAGATAGCATCCCAGTGACATCATGTTGCCTGCCTGTTCCGTGTGAAGCTGAGCCAAACTAGGCCTCTTGTGATGGAGATGGCCTTTTGTGTAGCATATTGTGCTCACAGATCATTCTTTCCTCTGTTCTGAAATTTATGACGATGCTTTCAGTGAGCTGCTTTTTTGGGGGGGGGGGTATTTTTGTACCCATCTGGTACAGAACTATGCAGCGTGAACCAGAATCGTCTCGACTGCTGTTGTAGTTTAAAATGTAAGTGAAAACAAGGTGATGATAAGAGATGCTTCCAGGTGTCAGTCTACATGTTTCATTACCACACCTTGTTTCTTTTTACCTCAGCTGGTGGAGCTTGAGGAGGTTGCAGTGGCGGTGAAGGAGAATGCCGGGGCATGGAAGAACGGCAGGAGACAGACTCCATTCCCCTTATTGATGACATCCGTTTCCACATAACCAGCAACGTGCAAACCTACAGTGCCATTGAAGAAGCTAACCAGAAACTGGAAGCCCTGGATAATCTTTTGGCCACCATCGGGCTTGAATGTTAATCTGGGCCATCTCTTTGTGTGACTTCGTGGTGGATCGACTCAGAGTTTCGTTCTCGAGATTTCTCATCCTTCCCTCTCCCCCTGTCCCTTGCGTGCATGCATGCACACCCTCCCCATCCCAGATTTGTAGCTCCATCCTCTTCTGTGCATGGCTTCTGTTTCTAATTTACTGGCATTCTAAAAGTTGCATGCTGGCTCATTTTCCCTTCTCCCAAGAAACAAATCTCATGGAACACTGATTAGTGATTAGCAAGCCCAGTTTAATGGCAAATTTAGTTCCTGCCAAATGTTGCAGGCCCAGCAATACCTGGTGAAAACTGTTGCTACCCACAGAGCTTTGACACAATAGCTTTCTGCAAGGAAATTAAAGCAAATGAAATACAAGGCAGTCAGGAATAAATCAGCCTAAATTCAAGGATAAGTAGGGGAACCAAAACTTTTACAGGAATGTAGAGAGGTTGCCTTTGTGCTTGCTGCCACTTGTCATGCAGTAATGGTTGTTTCCCTCTCCGTCCTGCATATTTGCCTTCCAGATTTGGGAAACAGGAGAAAGGAAGGACCTTGGCTTTCTAATCCAGTTGTCTTATTCTTTGGCAGACTTATTTTTGTTTCCCATTTCTGTTCTACCTTTCTGTTCCACCAAATGGCATGGTTTACCATGGTTTGTCTTTTGTTATTGGACGCAAACACACTCGGCCACCTTTACTATTACTGCTTCTGCAGGAGAAACTCCAGTACAGAGGTCTGTCGGGAACTTCAGATGTAGTTGTGTATCTGTTCTGTTGGAAGCATAGAAATGGCATTTTTTTTTAGATTTCATTGGACTGAAGACTTTAGAAAATCCTTCAGGTCGTACCAAGAAGTGTTCCAGTCCTGGTACAGGTTGGTTGTATGTGGTGTGCTTGGAGAATACCCTGCTGAAGACCCAGCCTCATTCCCCTTTTGTGATAGAAATGGAAGCTAGCATTGTATAGACACTGATACTATCTGTCTGGGGTGGGGCGGGACTTGAAATCCCCTGGCTGTGCCTTGCTGCCTTTCGCAAGAGCAATGCATTGAATTGCACATTTACATCAGGTCCTCTGTTTGGATCTGTGCATGTTGAAGGTTACATATATGGGCCTCTGTGCAAAGGTATGATGTGGATGTTAGGTCCATAAAGGGGTGGAACCATTTGACACAATCTTATGCACAAACAGGATACTAAGATCTGCATAGGGCTGTTGACAGGTCTCTAACTGATTGTGTCAGACTGATAGGACTACAGAGAATAGAGTCTGGGTCAAGTTGGACACATGCAGTCTTCCATGCTGTGTGAATGATACCTGAGGACGAGTGAATATCTGCATGCTGAGTGGGACAGGTATATGAGTGCTCTCAACTAATATTAATTACAAAGTCCCTCTTATTTCCCCTGTGTTATTAATATGCATTAGCCTGTCACGATGCTGATAGTAGAGGAGGGTCTGCTGTGAGGGCTAACCTCTGAGTAACCAGAATCTAGGAAGGCCATGGTTAGCAAACACGTAGAATGCACTAATTTCATTTGACTGCATAGTGCCCATTCCAGCCAGATTCCAAACATTTTTTTTCTTTCCCTCAGCTGAAGTCAGGAAAATGTCTGCTTGTCACAAAGAAAGATTAAGGTATTTTTAGGATGGCTGTCTTAAAATTTTCTTAGTAAGCAAAACTTCGATGCCTCTCTCTCTGGGGAGGATAAGAATTTTAAGGGGGGTGGGGAAGACCACGAGAAATCCAAAACAAAGCCTAACGTGGGAACTTCAACTCTGGCCAAGATCATGCATGAGCTTTGTACCTCATTACCTGTCTAAAATTATGTTCTAAAGATGCAGGTTTGACAGTGAGTAGATGAAGACCATTTAGGATTATCTTGAATGATGATTGTACTGACTGTACAGTGGAGGTGTGGCTCTTGCAGACTGATTATCGGGTCCTCATTATTCCAGCTTTCCAAGCACTGATAACATATAAGTCAGGTCAACAGTTTGTTGTTTCACCTCTGTGGTCAGGGCTGCGATGAAGTGAGAAGCTTTTCTGTATCTGTTGATGTGACAACTTATGCCATCACTGAGGTATGTTAGCAGAATTGAAGTATTGGCCTTATTTTGGCTCTGTGTAAAGGCGTACTATACTGTTCACATTTATGTGATGTCTGTTCTAATTAGACTCTTGTAAAGGGATTGTGGCAATTAAACACTCTGCGCTTGAGAAAGCACAGAACGTCCCATAGTAAAGTTAGGTCTCTAAATAAGTTTTCTCAAAGCCCACACAAATCTGTACAACTCACTTTGATTTCCGAAAGCACAACCTAATTTGGAGCAGAAAACCAGGAGGCTTTAAGGGCCCAAGCAGCTTTTGACAAGTAAAGCCTTCACCTTAAGGGTGACTTGGAATGTTGGTGGTTTTGTTCTTATGTCTTAAGGGGATTATATTTACTCAAAGATACATGGTGTGTGGGGGGTGGGATTTATGCAGAAAAGAGTAAACTATTGGTCTGGTAAAGGTGCTGTCTTTTTTTCTTCGTTTTGTGAAAAGCAACCTTAAAAGTGATTGGAAGAGTTTGGTGCTGGGATTCTTGAAATCAGGACTTGAATAGGCATAAGTCTCCATTTGTATGGCTTTTGTCACGGTAGCAACTTACAAACGTATCTCTGTGAACAAAAGGAAACATATTACTGGAATGAACTTGTATCTTTCTCCTCCTGCTGCTCATTGTTTCTGTTTTCTGGCCATCTTTTCTGTTACCCATTTGAGTCTTTTAGTGGCCATCTGTTATGTATTTCCACTAGCAAATGATTGGGTGTATAATCTTCAGAGTTTCTACCTATACTTAATCAATGGGGGCAAAAAGAAACTTGAGAAGCATAGGGAAGGAAGCATCCTAATGTTTTCCCCTTCCAGGTTTCTAACAGAGTAAAAAAATGGGTACAGCGAAAGGAAAAAAAGCATAGTATAGTGGAGGTTCTACCTCAGAAATTACTTTTAGTTGTTGAGCCACTGAAAATGATGTTAGCTTCTGGTATGTTAAAGGCAGTCTTTCTATTTCTTCCTCATTAGCACAGGTCTGCTCAGACAGATATGTTGGATAGATCCAGAACACACTGTCTTTCTGAGTGTGTTTAGTATCTGTGTCTCTGGGCTCAGCTCCTTGGTGAATTGTCATGCTGCTCAAACAGTCTCTGGTAAAGTTTAGCTTCTTGCAAATTTGGTGAAGGAGAAAAATCGGGCACACAACATACAGTGAAAAATCACCAACAAAATACAAAAGAGAAGAAATTAACGACTTTCCTAATAATTATTGAATGTTCTTCTCGGCGATCAGTATAGTTGTATTACAAGGCAACGGAAAATTATTTTTGTCTTACTGTTTATGGCCCAATTTTGTTTACATTGACTCAGCCCTCTCTATGATCTTTGTTTAAAAATAAAGAGAATGTAAAGCCTTTCTGAACAGCAATATAATATATTTAAAAGCTTAATATATAAGCATGTGTACAGCAATAAAGAATCTATTTCACTAGATCTGCTACTCCCTTGCCTTGTTTGTTCACTCGTGATCATAAGGAGAGCAGTGAGAGAGCTGCAGGAAACCTGTTCTTTATTCCCCACCCCTCCCCCGGCCAGTAGCTGTTGTTGCAGGGATGGGTGTTTACTGCAAAATGCTGCACAAATGCCTTTTCTCTGCTTATTCCTTTTGACACTTCCAAGTTTTTGTCGTCCAACAGTGATGTGGATAAAGAGATGAGTGCTTTGTGGTGGCAGTTTTGACACCACTTAATTCCATGCTTCTGGCAATGATCATGAGGTAAAACAGGCTATATTTATGTGTGTGGAGACAAAGGGGCCAAGAGAAGCAAGGGTTGCTGGGGAGGGAAGTACATTATACGTGTCTCTGTGCCAGTGCTAGAAGTCTCCGAGCCAAGATTGGGAGCTGGAGTGCTTGGTGCTAAATGACAATTTAGATATAGTGGGTATCTCAGAAACATGGTAGAGTGGAGGAAATCTATGGGATAGAATCATCCCTGGGTATAAGCTGTATAGGCAGGGCAGGGATGGGTTGATGGAGGTGTTGCATTGTACATCAAAGAGGGCGCAGAATCAAGTAAGTTAGAAAACATTAGGGGAATGAACTCCCCAAGTTCAGCATTCATGTCAATGGAAAGTTACCCTTTGAGTCCAAACAGCCCCGTAGCTAGGGACTTTTTTGTGAGGGGGCCTTGGGGGGGCTGCCAGCTAATTAAATAGGGGGGCAGCTTCCCTCCCCCCCAGCAAGGGCACCCCTTCCCTCTGCAGCGTCTGACTCCCTCCCTCCCAGAGGAGTCCCAGTGCCCCTTCCCGCGTTGGTGCACCAGGGGCAGCCTGATCTCCACCCTCAGCTCCCTCCCGGGGCTGGGAGAGGCGTGGCGTGGGGTGGCTGGCTGGCTGGCCATGAAGGGGTGGCGTGTGGGCACATTGGCACACAGGAGCACAGCCAGGTGTGCCTGGCCAGGGCCAGATGATGCACCCACTTGCCTCCTTGCCTTGCCTGGCTGGGCTTACCTGCTGCTGGCAGGCCAGGCGGCAAGCATCTCTCAGCCCAGCCTCGCCGCCTCTGCTGCTGCTTGTGCCGCTCTCATCCTCCTGGTGACAGGCAATCGGGGGAGGCGGAGCCAAGGCTCAGGGAGGGAGGCCCATAAAAACACAAGGGGGCTGGGCCCCGTGGCCCCCATGGCCCCCATGGTAGCTACGGGCCTGAGTCCAAAACTGTAAGGTTTGGTTCCAGAAGTGGGAACCCTAGCATCTATTATGAATGAGTCACTAACTCAGGTTTTAACCGCAACATCAGGTCTCTGTATTATTTATGATAACGGAATTTAGCTGAAAGACCTTTCTTTAATAGGTGCGCAAGCTAGGGAGCGCACTCCGGCTATACCAGGGTCAGAACCCACTTGGAGCACAGACGACAGACAGGAAATGTCTTTTATGAAATTTATTAAGAAAATAACCCTAATAATTTAGCTAATTAAATAAAAACATCACACTAAGAAACAATGGGTTGAGGTGATCTTAAGAGATCAGAGACGAAAGAGGGTGAAGCATTAATGGAGTAATAGCTACCTTCCGAAGAGGAGAGTACGTGGTGAAGAGCAGACAGCCAGCAAGCACGTCCATGAAGGCCGAAGAGAGATGGGGGATCCAGCTGGTACACATCCCAGAAGACTGAACCAAAGATGGCTGAGTTGGGAGCCTAGTTATAGGGAAATTGTGCCTGCAGGGCAGTGAGGCACAATAGGGAAATGGTCCCAAATGGACTGGGATGGCCAGTAATGGCTCAGGAAGGGTTGCGGACAAAGAAAATCCTGGTTTGGGGAAGGGAAACCTTTGTTAGTGAGGCATGGGGCAATTGTACAGTCTTGGCTCTCTTAATGGCTGGGCTATCACAGACAATGGTGATAGCTAATGGGCTAATGGTGACAATAGAACATATCCGGGATGGTCCCAGTATCAGGGGCACGGTCCAGAGGCGCAGGTGTGAAACACAATACTGGAATGGAGGTATTGGAATGCTGGAATACAGGTATGTGGTCATCTTTTGAGATCTTTTGAAATTAAGGCATTGTTCTTTTATGAAGGCAGCCACGTGCTGGCTATATCGGAGCTTGATGGCTGCAGGAGTCAGAGTGACGGTCCTAGATGCATGTCTGAGGTTGTTGGTCTTGCACACAGAGAGGGCTAGGCTTGCCCTATGCCAACTTTGGTCCTAGTTTTTCCAGGATACCATCCTTCCCTTGGCTACTCAAAGAAGCGGTTATCTGTCCCCTACTTAAAAAAACATATCTGCAGAAAAAATTATTTGGCCAATTATTGCCTGGTCTCTAATCTGCCCTTTCTGGGCAAAATAGACCAACCCCGGGTCTTCTGCTCTAGATCCTTTTCAGTCTGGCTTCAAGCCAGTCTGTGGGACAGAGATGACTCTGCTAGTTGTAGCTGATGACCTCCATCTGAGTGCAGACAATGGCCATGCCTCTTTGTTGCTCTTTCTGAAATTACCCACAGCCTTAAATACAATCGACCATACCATTTGTTGAGGTGCTTGGAGGCAGAGTTAGGTATCGGGATGCACACTAAACTGGTTCCAATTATTCCTCAGAATCAAAGGGTAGCTACTGGAAACCAGTTATCAGTGTGGGACCTATCATGTGGAGTTCCATGGGGTGCAATTCTGTCCCCCATGCTTTGCAATCTTTATGTAAAGCCCTTAGGACAAATAATGTGACGAGATCGGGCGTGTTCAGGGTGGTATGGCCGTAGGTGTCATTTTCTGTCTTTGATTTTAATGTTGTATATGCCATTAAAGGTTTATTGATTGACAAATAATGTGTAGCCTTCAGGTTGGTTGTCATCAATATGCTGATGACGCCCAGCTCTATATATCCCTATACAAATCTCTTGGTGATGCAGTAAAGGTTCTGAATAACTGCCTAGCTGCTGTGGTAAATTGGCTAAGAGAGCACAAATTGAAACTAAACCCTGAGTAGATAGAGGTAATGCTGGCTGGGAAGGTGGGGATCTTGAAGGACTTTGGGCTCTCCACTTTTGATGGAATTCAAGTGACCCTTGCTGATTCAGTTAAGGGCCTTGGGGTTATACTGGACGCAACATCATTACTGGTGAAGCAAATTAATACACCTGCAAAAAAACCCCCAAAAAACGCTTTCTTCCAACTCATCCTAGTCTGTAAGATGACCTGGCCACCTGGATCCACCCACAATGACATCAAGACTAGACTACTGTAATGCACTGTACCTTTGTCTCCCCTCAAAACTCAATTTAGAAACTCCAGTTGGTGCAGAATGTTGTGGTTCGGTTATTATCGGGAGCTAGATGGAGCACGCACATTACTCCCATTCTGCAGTCATTCCACTGGCTGCCCATCAGTTACTGGGCTCAATTTAAGGTATTGGCTATCATGTACAAAGCCCTTCGTGGCCTTTGGAGCCTCCTATCTCTGAGACTACCTCTCCCCCTATGCTCCACCATGACAGCTTTGCTCAGCTGAGCAGGGCCTTCTGCAGGTGCCAACCTGCAAATGGGTAAAATCAACCACTGCCTGTGCACGCACCTTCTCCCATGTGGCCCCCACCTTGTGGAACGGCCGGCCAGAGGAGGTCAGGAAGGCTCCCTCCCTTCTGGCTTCTTTTTAAAAGACTTCTTTTTTAAAACTGGAAGGTCCACCCTGATGATGAATTGAACAGAGGGGACCAGGGGCTTTGGCAAAAGAAATTAAAGTTAATAAATAAGCATATGAAAGGAGAATTTGAGGAGCAGGTTGTTAAAAGCATCAGGACAAACAATAAACATTGTATTAAGACCAGGAAACCAGCCAGAGAAGCAGTTGGGCCTCTGGATAACCGAGGAATAAAGGGATTACTGTAGGGGTACACCCGAGAGTTGTCGGGGAACTCAAGTGCAGTGTTCCCTCTAAGCAGAGTTAGTGTGAGCTAGCTCATCGTTTTTTAGCCTCCAGCTCACACATTTCTGTCTTAGCTCAGGAAGGATGGCTCCAGAGCAAACTGATCTATGCAGCAACCAACTCACTCGCTCACAGCTTTAATGCCAAGAGCTCACAAAGTAGAATTTTTGCTCACAAGACTCCACAGCTTAGAGGGAACATTGCTCAAGTGTGAGGTTGTTGATCTACTTACTGATATATGTAACTTATCCCTAAACTCAGCCACTGTACCAGAAGACTGGAGAGTAGCAAATGTTACACCAATTTTATTTAAAGGGTCTAATGGGGACCAGGAAGTTAAAGGTCATTTAGCCTAACATTTGTCCTGGGCAAACTAGTAGAAACTATTATCAAAGATAGGATTACTAGGTACAAAGAGGAACAAAGGCTGCAGAGGGAAGTCCTGCCTCAACGACCTTTTGGAGTTCTTTAACGTGCAGTTTTTTAAAAAGTCAATGTGGGGGATTTCACTTCTGCGGAAATGGTCTGAGAAAGTGAACGAGTATGTAGATAACGGTGATCTGGTAGACACTGCATACTTGGACTTTCGAAGGGTTTTTGGATTTGGGAAGGGGAGGAACCCCTGCAGGCTCTAGTGCCATAGAGTCCACCCTCAAAAGCAGCCACGTTCTCCAGGGAAACTGGTCTTGGCTATCTGGAGATCGATTGTAATGGCAGGAGATCTCCAGGTGCCACCTGGAGGATGGCAGCCCTATATCACATACATTCCCGCAGAGTTTTAGTTGTAGGCTCTTTCAGGAGCCAAGAACGGCCCCAAAAGCAGGATTTAAAAATGCAATGAATTAAAGAAGCCGAGAGTATTGCAGCGCAAGTGCTGAAGGTGAATAAGACAAACTTATGGCATATCCCTGTTACATTAAAATTTGCAAGACGTGCCCTTCCCCCACTTCGAAGCACAATTCAAACCCTCTGGCCTTGAATTTGGCTGAGACAATGTTAATCTGCAAAATCCATCCAAGGTAATAGAAATCGAGTGCTTG